AATCCGACGGGTAGGATAAAATGTCAGGACACCGGACGTTTAAACACACATTAGTGTTCAAGGAGTTCCGGCGATAAATTCACAATGCGACAGCTATAAGCGATCAGACAGAACCAAAGCAAGCGATCTCGCTCTAGTGCGCCATACAGCCGGTGTACACAACACAAGGCGCGCGCCTTTCAGTCAGGATAATCTCTGCGTGGACGTGCAGCATCAACGGTGTTGCCATGTCCATCTGTTATAAGAATTTAGCTGCATTATATAACATAACGAGATGAAAATCACATTTTTGAAGGTGGGGGTTGTATTGAGACCAATATAGTTTCCCTAATCGGTTCTGTTACTCATTCAGAAAACCCACAATTACGTTAAAATTGCTCCTCCCCCAGTAAAGCTTTTTTTTTTGCAAGATCTGGCAACACCCACCCCTTCCTCGATTCACTGTGTCCTCCATGTTGAAGGACTGGAATGACAGTACCAGCCATGTTCTCTGCAGCTTTGCTAATAAGTGTGCTCTCTACGCGTGTCAGTGAAAACCGGGTAGTATAAAAATAAAACTTACAAAAAAAAAATATTTTGTCTGAATCAACTACCCTGAAAATATAAGTATATGAAAAATTAGACAGCCTTGTGATTTAAAAGCATTTGAGGGATTTCCTTGTGACAAACACAGCAACTACAGGATTGAGTGAATAATCAGTAATCTTACCCGACTACAAGCACTACAGACAGCCCCAAGCAGACTGGAGAAAAATGAACTAGTCACACTGCCGGTCTATTTATATACAGGGGTGGGATATGAAAAACTCCTAGACCACAGATACTGCTCAGCTGAGGGGTACCATTGGTAGCTTTACAGAGCACTCACCATTTGCAATTGGAGGACAAGACATCAGTAAAGTGGGCACACTGTAGAAGAAACCTGGCTGCACCATGTGTTAAACAGCTGCAAGGACCATGGCAAGTCACATTAGTTGCTCATTCAATTCCCACCCAGTTCCCCATTGATGACAAGACATAGCGAAAGCGCAATTTTTAATACCTTTAGTTTATTCAGCAGCTTCTTTCCAAATTTTACGGTGGCAACAGGTGCAGTTCTAAACCATTAACACAAATTTAATAACTGAAAGAGGCACCATCTGATGTGCGCATGCGCAGTAAACCCTAGTAGGACAATCCGACGGGTAGGATAAAATGTCAGGACACCGGACGTTTAAACGCACATTAGTGTTCAAGGAGTTCCGGCGATAAATTCACAATGCGACAGCTATAAGCGATCAGACAGAACCAAAGCAAGCGATCTCGCTCTAGTGCGCCATACAGCCGGTGTACACAACACAAGGCGCGCGCCTTTCAGTCAGGATAATCTCTGCGTGGACGTGCAGCATCAGCGGTGTTGCCATGTCCATCTGTTATAAGAATTTAGCTGCATTATATAACATAACGAGATGAAAATCACATTTTTGAAGGTGGGGGTTGTATTGAGACCAATATAGTTTCCCTAATCGGTTCTGTTACTCATTCAAAAACCCACAATTACGTTAAAATTGCTCCTCCCCCAGTAAAGCTTTTTTTTGCAAGATCTGGCAACACCCACCCCTTCCTCGATTTCACTGTGTCCTCCATGTTGAAGGACTGGAATGACAGTACCAGCCATGTTCTCTGCAGCTTTGCTAATAAGTGTGCTCTCTACGCGTGTCAGTGAAAACCGGGTAGTATGAAAATAAAACTTACAAAAAAAAAAAAAATTGTCTGAATCAACTACCCTGAAAATATAAGTATATGAAAAATTAGACGGCCTTGTGATTTAAAAGCATTTGAGGGATTTCCTTGTGACAAACACAGCAACTACAGGATTGAGTGAATAATCAGTAATCTTACCTGACTACAAGCACTACAGACAGCCCCAAGCAGACTGGAGAAAAAGGAACTAGTCACACTGCCGGTCTATTTATATACAGGGGTGGGATATGAAAAACTCCTAGACCACAGATACTGCTCAGCTGAGGGGTACCATTGGTAGCTTTACAGAGCACTCACCATTTGCAATTGGAGGACAAGACATCAGTAAAGTGGGCACACTGTAGAAGAAACCTGGCGGCACCATGTGTTAAACAGCTGCAAGGACCATGGCAAGTCACATTAGTTGCTCATTCAATTCCCACCCAGTTCCCCATTGATGACAGAAGACATAGCAAAAGCGCAATTTAATACCTTTAGTTTATTCAGCAGCTTCTTTCCAAATTTTACGGTGGCAACAGGTGCAGTTCTAAACCATTAACACAAATTTAATAACTGAAAGAGGCACCATCAGTCAATAAGTGGACACTTAAATCCAAGTTGGTTTCCTTTCCTGCGAAAATTTTTCCAATGGGTTTTAATCAGCATTAGCCAGTCCTTAAGTAGAGTGCCCATGTTTAGAGAAATTCCACGAGGTTGGGAAGGATGCAAATCCACTGGTTACAGATATCTTACTTCACATTCTCTTATATAGATTACACAGAGGACAGTGATATGTATTGACTGGCTGTTTGAGTAAAATATAATCAGTCACTGAATGAACAGTATGTTGTCATTGTCCTTGGCCAATGTCCTTCATGCAAGCAATAATTTGCATAGACAATAGACAATAAATTAAAAGAAGTGAATTATGTACATTAATAATAATAATAATAATGAGACAACATGCAGGGCAGCACAGTATAAACCATTTTACATTTTTGTAAATGCACCAGTTGTAATAAAGTGTGGGAAAATTACGTTTAGTGGGTTCAGGAGGACAATGGAATTTAATATCATTTGTGTCCACAAAAAAATCAACAACACATTGTACACTGCATAAATGAAATTAATTAATTAAACTAACCAGTCCTGATGTGCTCATGACATGGAGTTTTATATTAAGGTAAAATATATATCAAAATTGTTTTATTTCAATTTTGTTTCAGTACTGCTTAGTATACCAGGCTTAGCAATAGCTGTCAGTATATCATTTTGAAATTAGAAATGAAATATAAAATGAAAAAGTTAGGTAGTAAGTTCAGTCAACTTGATGGTTGGGAAACAACTAATCTAAATAAAATAAAAAAGACTGAACAATTCTTAAGTCAACCCAAACCTACAGAATATGCAAATAATCAAATAAATCCTTTTGAAAAGTCTCTTCAGTTATTATCATGGTCTTCTTTAACAGTAATCCTAGAAAATGAAGTAAACAGAATTATGCAGTAAGCAACCAGTCATATGAATGATATCAAAAAGAAATGCCACAGCATTTGAGAAAAAAAAGCTGGCACATGATTGCACTATATGAATTGTGATGATTCCCACCTTTCTTTCTTATTTTCTTCACACACACATACCAAGGATGATTACTATTCACAGCACAGTGGTCTAAAGCCCCACCCCAACGTGCAAACACAACTCAACATATCCTGCCCCGTTTTAAATCAATTGTTTTTTGATATACTGCCTACAGAATATGCAAATAATCAAATAAATCCTTTTGAAAAGTCTCTTCAGTTATTATCATGGTCTTCTTTAACAGTAATCCTAGAAAATGAAGTAAACAGAATTATGCAGTAAGCAACCAGTCATATGAATGATATCAAAAAGAAATGCCACAGCATTTGAGAAAAAAAAGCTGGCACATGATTGCACTATATGAATTGTGATGATTCCCACCTTTCTTTCTTATTTTCTTCACACACACACACCAAGGATGATTACTATTCACAGCACAGTGGTCTAAAGCCCCACCCCAACGTGCAAACACAACTCAACATATCCTGCCCCGTTTTAAATCATTTGTTTTTTGATATACTGTGATGACTCTTGGTCTGGTCTGGCCTGTTTACCTGGTTCATGTAGCAGCACAATGCTAATAAGCTTAATATCTATTTGTCCAGATAAACTGCCATTTGGTTTCTATCTCAGGCACTCAAGTGTGGGGGAGGGCATGGGGAATGTGTGCCACGAATCAGCGTCAGTGCCTGGCATGAGATCTGTGTTGAGTCATGCAATACAGAAGAAAAAGCCTGAACTTTTCCCTCAAGGCTCAAACACAGAGCAGGCCTCAATGCAAGACAGCTTTGTATTATGGTTTACTCTTGAAATTTGGTATTGCAGCAATGCTGATATTTTGAAGTCATTCTGGACCAAAATATCTGCTAAATGAATAATTTTCATGATAGCAGTGCTGTGCACCTTTGGAGCATGCTTAAAATGTTTAAAGAATCCTTGGGATTTCTAACTTTAAATCAGATCTGAAATACATGATTTGACATTCAATTAAATTATTGTACTCTAGTTCCAAAATGAAAATTCTAGTAAAACAACATTGCATTTAATAAAGTATTTCAACCTAAAATAACTTGATATAAAATAACCCTAAAACAGTAAAAATATTAGACCAACTTAAGGGGTTCTTACTTCTTACAACAAAGAAAAACAATCAAACTTCAATGTAGAAATCCTCCCCCTCCCCCTCAAGGCAACAAACTTACACTTGCAAATCCCCTCCATGTGTTATGCAGTTTTAAAGTGTAATGCGAATGGATGGGGGTCAAGGAAACAAACATCTGCATGTGTGAGAACCCCATGAGTCTATCCTCAGACCTTTGGTGAGAATGCAGATGTCCATGAATGAACGGAAGTCATTTGTATTCAGTTCACAACTGCTGAGAAAGAGGTTGCTTATAGGTCAATAAAATTGCCTAAATTAAATATGTTTTTTAAAATCTCACCCATCTAAAGACCTACATGAATGAACGGAAGTCATTTGTATTCAGTTCACAACTGCTGAGAAAGAGGTTGCTTATAGTCAATAAAATTGCCTAAATTAAATATGTTTTTTAAAATCTCACCCATCTAAAGACCTTCAGTTCATATATAAGCTTAATATATTTCCTCGACTAGGTCTTTCAAACAGGAAAGCAAAATATGACTCATCTACAGTAATATTAAACAATATAACAGGGTATGATAGGGCAAGATCAAGTTCACAGAGCAAATTCTTTGCTCCTTCGAACAGCTAGTAAAACTGTAACACAAGAAATGTTATTTTATGACTCTACCAGTTTTATTTTTGTCCTCATGGTAAGCCGTAATATAGCTTGCTCATTTACACACACAACATTGAAACTACGGAAAGAGTGCATTTACAATGTCATGATAGGAATGATTAAAGAGACTAACCCAAAAAAATCGATATATCAAATCAAACTTAGCACTATATTAATGACACAAAAAGTTAAAACGCCCAGCAAGTTTACATCACAATCAACACTGTTCATATATCTGGTATAATTGCTCCTATACAAATTTAAGATAAATAAAATTTAAATATTCAGAACTATCTGCTGTAAAATTTGAGAGGCATTCATATAATCCAACGAGGTGATAAATGTTGGCTCGAGTCCCCACCGTCACTGCACAGTGCAAAGGCTAAAGTATACTTCGGTTTTTACGAGTACAAAGTGACGCAAATGTATAAGCGTGTGGTTGACTGTAATGCCTTGTATATTATTTACACTGTAGCAATTAAAATTATGTTAGGTTGTTTACCCTGTAATTGCACATAGGAATACAAATGTTTGATTAATGATCTATTCATCCATATTACAGAGCAGATAATAAGTGCTGACAAATCAGATGGAACATCATGACTGTACTGTAAAAATACCACTGTATTTATTGAGCATGATCAAAATCAGAAATTCATGACTTATTTAAAAAAAAAAGAAAAAAGTAATAGTAATACCGGGCAATTTTTAGCAAAGATTCTTTGAGTGTTTTAAACAAACATTAAGTGAAACTTCATTTAAAAACTTGTAAAAAATTAAATTGTGCACTAGCTTAATGCAATCATCAAAAACTAAAATTCATTAAACATTTCAATTTTCGAAGAAAGGTTTCAAACAATAATGTTCCCTGTCTGGTCTATTCCAGTAAATATGAACAGACTGTATCTGTCAGTAAAACTGTAACAAACCATGGTTTTCATGAAAAAGGAGCCTGAGTGCTAAAGTGAATGACACAATTAATGGAGTACAGTTACTTCATTAGCAAGTTTAAAATGACCTGAACAGCATTGGTACCAAACAGTAAGGTATTTTCATTATTAATGCATTAAAGTGCTTATTAGGAAGTATTTTCAAATGTAATAAAAATATAGTTGAAACCCCTAAATCTGTTCTGTTTCACCACTGTAACACAAATTACATTAGTTTGAAAGATAGCATAAAGTCCAGAGTATAATTTATCAAAAAAGTAATGATTAAAAAATGGAATTCCTCTGATCTCTCCATTCCATTGTATTATCATTAACGGAATTGTTTAGCAATTAATCAAATATTGGTAGACTAAAAACTACACTTTGTAAGGCACTTCAAATTTTTTTCCCTCTAAAAATCCTGAGTAAAGTACAATTAATACCAGTCAAATGTTTGGATAGACCTTCTCTCTTTTTTTAAACTATTTCCCTGTTTTTGAATAATGGTATTCAAAACTATAAAATAATACAAATGGAAGTATGGGAATTTTGTAGTGACCAAAAATATCACTGTTTGGTCCATTAAAAAAAGTTATAAACTAGGTAAATTTTATGTTTGTATGTTTATTTTATGTAAGCCTTTAGAATAACACGTTTTTAAAATCCTGAAAAGGTACGAAGTTTGTCCAAACCTTTGACTGGTAGCATATGTGATGAGTATTGCATAAAACTCAAAGGCAGTGTCCTCATATCTTGCTGAATTGGTCAACTGGAATGTTTAATTGTGTATATCTGTGTCTGACTCCTCATCTGTCCTAGCCCAGCTCTGAATCTTTCCAGTGCCAAAGATCACGTAAAAGATGGCTCCAAAGGCACTCACCCCTGCTGACAACCAGAACACATGTCTCCATCCTGTAACTGAGTGCTGCTCAGAAATCAAAGGAAGGGGGAACATATAAAAATGTCAACTTTGATGATGATGAATTATTTTAAGCAACTGCAGTGTTACAAAATATAAAACACAGCTTACATCTCTGGTCAAGTAGCCCACTACAATTGGTGCAAGAACACCAGAGATCATCCCAAAAGTGTTTGTGATTCCTAGAAGTGTACCTGCGTACCTGGAAGAAAAGAGCACAAAAGGAGATATAACTATTGCAATAAATGTAAAGCTGGTAAAGAAAACTTAATGTATAGATTGATGGATATCAATTTTAGCAAAGAGCTGTTCAGTTTGTAGTCCTATAATCCAGAAGATGATTAGCATTTTCCAACATTATTTTAATAAAGAAAAACAAAAAAAACATAAGAAATCCCAAAAGGTGAAGGTTGGCCTAGAAATTGATGTAATGAACAGCTCTATAGGGCAAACTTAAGCAGATTGACTAATTGTGACAAATAAACCAGTCAGACAGTCTTGGTTCTGTACCGTGGAGCAATGTCAATCTGGTTAATGTAGACACCAGCAGCACTGAAACCCTCGAGTATACTGGAAAAAGTGAGAAAAGTCACGGCCAACACACCGCTACAACCCGTGAAGCCTACAGCGAGCAGGAAAGCAGCAGGTAGAAACAGACCTATGGGACACAAAACAAAAGTATTCATAAAATCACAGTTAAACTGTAATAATACAGTCTTTAGTGTCACATGATCCTTTAGAACTCATTCTAATATGCTGATTTGTTGCTCAAGAAACATTTCCTATTATCAATGTTGAAAATAGTTTTTACTTAATATTTTTATTGAAAAAAAAAAGATTACTTTTATCTAGCAAGGATGTATTAAATTATTTAAAAGTGACAGTAAAGACATAATGTTACAAAAGCTTTCTATTTCAAATAAATGCTGGGGGGGGGTTTCATTAAAGAATCCTGAAAAAAAAGTATCACAGTTGCCACAAAAATATTAAGCAGCACAACTGTTTTTAACATTGAAATGGTTCTTGAGCACCAACTCAGCATATTAGAATGATTTCTGAAGGATCACATTTCTGAAAACTGGAGCAATGGCTCATGAAAAATTACATTTTAGAATTGTAATAATGTTTCAGTACATTACAAAGTACAATATTACTGTTTTTTTCTGTATTTTGATCAAGTAAATGCACCCTTGGTTAGCATAAGAGTGTTTCAAAAACATAAAAAAAGGTAATGATTCCAAAGTGTAGCTGTTCTATTTCCTCACTTTTTACATGCACTTTGTCATCATAAATATTTATGTTATTTAGCAGATATTTATTTGTTATTCATACCAATGAAAGTAAAGATTTTTCGGACAGCTGTGACACTTAGGAGCTCCCTCTCCAGGAGGTTGTCTGCCAGCACACCTGAGACCACTGAGAAAAGCCAGTCAGCCAGATATGGCAGAGCAGACAGGACTGAATTCTAAATGACAAAACAAAATGAAATAGAGTGAGACACAGTATATAATCCAGACTGATTTAATCTAAATATCCCGATTGCCTCACCTGTTGCAAATCAAAGTGGAGCACAGTGTCCATGTAAGTAGGAAGTGAGGTGAGGAGAGTATAATAAGACCAGTTACCGCACATCTGGGGGATGATTATGGCCCAAACAGGCACAGAGAACAGCATAGATAATACAGGCACTGACCAACCATGTGGCATCCCCTAAAAAAAAAAAAAGAGGAAATATCAAATCAACAATAAATGCCTGCAGATCTAACCCTGAGATTAAATATGGAGAGGAAGTCATGCTGGAAATTCATATTATTTGATGATTCCTTTGTAATTCAATGACATATTCACATAGAATCATGCTAGCATGTATTTATTTATTTTTTAGCATGAATGATTTACTTGATGAATAAAGAACGAGACCAAACTGTATACATCATCAAAAATTCAAAGAGAAAATTAGTTCATACCTGTGAACCTATTGAGTTAATTATGTAATGTTTCTCTCTGTCACTAATTCTTGGGTGAGTTCGGGGTTCATCTGACACCATGATAAACCAAAACACTGCCCAAAGGCACCCTGCACCACCTGGTGGTAAAAACACGTTAATGGATATACGTTTGAATATAAAATATACAAGATATGTTGCTATTATTTTACATTAAATATGATGACAAGAGTAAGGAGTGTTAAGTATATTAATGTATTATATATAAAATAATTATTCCAAGCATTTTGCTTGGACTAGATGCTACACCATTAAATGTATTTTATTTTTATTTTTTTAGAAAATTATATTTTAATGTTTTTGAAAATCTCTTATTCCCACCAAAGTTACATTTATTTAATCAAATACAGTAAAAACAGTAATAATTTGATATATTATTACCAGTTAAAATAACTTTGCTATTTTAACATATTTAAAATGTAATTTATGGCTAAGCTGAATTTTCAGCATCATTACTCTCTTCAGTGTCACAAAATCCTTCAGAAATCATTCTAATATGCTCAAGAAACATTCTGCATCCCTGAAGAACTTAACTATTAATTTATTTCACAACAAACAAACAAAAATCGTACAGACCCTAAACTGTTATGTACAGTATATAAATGCATCCATAAGTTAAATGTAATTTTCCCTCACCACAGGAGTAGAAGACTGCTGGCCACCCCAGACTACGGCAGATGAAGCCAGTGAGAGGAAGAACCACAAAAGCACCAAAGCTAGAGCCTGCACCTGAGAACGTCATCAAACGAGCCCTCTCCAATGGAGGAGCCCAGCGGGCCCACATCGCCATCATGGCAGGAAGAGTCACACCCTGGACAAAAAACAAAACAAAAAACAGACTCAAATACAGAGATTCTCTATTTGAAGCATCAGTGTGAAGCTTTTTTTGGCTATTACAAAAGCCCCCTAACCTCCCCAAATCCCTCCAGTGCACGCAAGGCAAACAGCCACTTGGCTCCAAGTTGTGCTGACAGTGGAGTGAGGAGAGTGAGGACGGATTAAGAGCTGTTTGTGTGCAAAATAGAACTGCATGATTCTGGATAAATTAAGGTTTTTTTCCCCCTAATGGAAGTTGTGGTTCTCTCATGACTGTGAAGAAAAAATATTAGACAACTAAACAAAATCACATGTAATTTATGAATTAATGACTAAATGACTCACTCAAGATGTACTGGTTTCATTTCTGGATGAATCAGCATTCTTGAACGAATCTCTTGTATGATTCAAAGACAAATACATTTTAACAGACCCTTTTCGCCACCTAAATTACCGGAGTAACAATGTAATCGATAATGTTCATTTGAAGTGTCAAATTACTTTCAAAAGGTGATTTAAGAGGTGATTTTAATCTCTACCATGCACGTTGTACACAGTTTATATCTGAACTATAAACTTTTATCCCAGTACTTCTGTGATTTGAATGTTTGTAACACAGAAATAATGATACTGTGTGGCTGAAAAGACTGTAAAGCTGTGTCATTCATGACAGACAGCTGCTGTCTAGGTCAATGGCAGTGTGAACGCAAATTGAAATGTTCAAATCACACTGGTGTGATCGTACTCTGCACGGACGAACCAACAAGTGATCACAACATTGATTGCACATGTCAGAGGTTGAGGAATGAAACAGACTAATCATTGTAATTTAGGAATAGAATCACATTGGTGTTTGAATCGCGTTCGCGAACTTTTACGATCTATTAAATTAAAGTGCTTTGTCATGTTGGTGGAGACACCTCTCTTGCAACATGTTTAGCTATCACAGATATTATACTTAGCTTTTTTGCCTTCTGATCACAAAAGTAGCCAAACCAGAGATCGTCTTACTATCGGGAGATGAGAGGGTCTGTATTACTTACTATTGGAGAAAGCGTTACGGCTAACTTGGATCATGTTTGCCTTAAAGGGTCATGAAACCCCCCGTTTCAGCACCGGTTAGTTCTCACCAGTTTTAAAAGATGCTAAAAAAGTGGGCGTGGCGCGCAGCGGAGCGGAGGAGAGGTGAAGAGGGGAGACAGACAACACACACAAGCTATGCGTTCAGACCGTTTCATTTCGCTCCCATAGAGTTAAAAACACATAAATGCACAGCCATTTGCACTCTGCATCGAAAACATATATATGAACGCGCTGTTGCACCTCTGAGAACTTTTAAGGCTTATTCTGTGGCATTTATAAGCCTTTTGATGGATTGTGTCACAGAGCTGTAAAAACGGTTATGCTCACCAAGTGAATGAATCGCGTTTGTGCCGAACTCTTATTACAAAGCAAAAACACTCTTCTTCGATCCATGAACGTTTCGAGAAGGGTCTGGCTGCAGACTTGCACTCTCAGACACTTGGGCTTCCGCTAGTGACATCCAGGGCTGTAGCTGGGGTTTGCAGGGCCCCAGTACAGGTTTTGGCTAGTGGGTCTCGTTTGAAATGGTTTCATTTGCATGTTCGCTCTATTTATTTATTTGTGCTATTTACAATGGTTAAGTAAAATAGCACTGCATAGTCTTCACTGTAAAAAATGTAATATACGGTTAGTTAAAACAAAAATTATTCAGACACCTTCAACATTTCTCACATTATCAGTTTATTTGCTATATTTTAGAAAATTTTAATAAAATGACAAGAACTTAAACTGTCAGAACAAATTCATCTTGATAATGTCAGATAACTTTGATAGAAAGGTATGTAATGAATTACAATCAACCAAAAATTCAGACAACTGTTAGTATGACTATTTACACAACTATCAATATTTTGTTGACCAATTACCAAGCAATGCTTAATTTTGTTCAATTAAAGAAAAAATAAAAAGGGGTCATATGATGCGATTTAAATTTTTCCTTTATCTTTGGAGTGTTACATGCTCTTGGTGCATAAAGAAGATCTGTAAAGTAGAAAAGACTAAAGTCTCAAATCCAAAGAGTTATTCTTTATAAATTTAAGAGTTAACCACGCCTACCTAAAACGGCTCGTTCTAACACGCCCCCACATATCTACCTCACTATGTGGGAAGATTTGTATAACGCCACCCAAATGTGCAAGCAAAGAAAGAAGTCGTAACTTTTATTCTCACTGTAGTATTGTTGCCGCTGCCGCATGTGGACACATTCCATACTACGGGCTTTCTGGCTACAGAATCGCAAAGACTGATTTGCAACTATCCCTTAAATACTACCAGAACAAAAACAAAGATCTTTAAATCAGTTGTAAAAACATAAAATACCTTTTGTTTGTTAGGTTCTGTGATCCAGGGTCACACCTGGCTGGAGAGAGATAAACATTCTCACAGACCCCTAAAGGGGGACACACCCCCTCCTCAACAACAATTCTACAAAAAAGTTTTAAATCTCTCATAATATAAATGACTACCTTGAAACTGAAACCACTTTACCAAATCACACAAAGACCTTTAAAATGACATCAAACATGAAGTTTACAATCATGAATCCTGACGATATAGTAAATGTTTTATGTGAGCATAGCAACTTGAGTTCTTGGCATTTCTCTGTCAACTTTTAGTGACCTGGACCATGTGCCCAGGGGGGAAGGACGGGTGAAGGGACTGAAGAACAAATGGTCTTTCTTCCCGATCTTCCTATCTTGATCAAAGCCCATTGTTTCTGAGTGTTTGGCATTTGCATTGCAAATTTATTTTATAAGGAAATAATTTCACTCCTTTCACACACTTGAGGTATTCGGCCAATCACAATGCACTGGATAGCTAGCCAATCACAGCACACCTCGCTTTTCAGACCGATGAGCTTTGTTAAAATCAACACGGTTTCAGAAAGGCGGGGCATAGAGGAGAAACAATAAATGTACAGTACATGGAAAATAGTGTTTTTTTTTACACTTTAAACCGCATAAACATTTCATTACACCAAATAAATGTTCTTTTTAGCAACATCATATGACCCCTTTAAAGGGTTAGTTCACCCATAACAAACAAAGGCCTCCTGTAGCGAATCAATGCGTTTTTGTATGAAAAATATCCATATTCAAAACGTAATAAATCACTTTAATGTAGCTTGTGCTCACTGTTGTAAACAGAAGCAGTTCCGGGCTGATGACGCATGAGGTCAGCGCTATTCGCTATTCGCAATAAAGCTTGGAATAGCCAGGACAAATTTTTTTATATAACTCCCACTGGGTTCGTCTGAAAGAAGAAAGTCATATACACCTAGGATGCCTCCGAGGCGAGTAAAACGCAGCCTAATTTTAATTTTTGGGTGAACTAACCGTTTAAGCAAAACATGGTCAGGTCAACATGTCTGAATAACTTTTGGTCCCAAATTTATTTTATCAATTTTACTGGTAGTCCACTGTATGAAGAATTTTTGGGTATATTATGTCAGTTTATTTAGCTTTACTCACTTACACGAATGAACTATAGTGTCCTGCACCCACTAGTAAAAAAAACAAATAAACACACACACACACACGTATGGTGTCTGAATAATTTTTGGTTTGACTGTGGATTAATTCTTGTTAAAACTACGAAGTAATTCAGTCAAGAGCAGTGAGTGATTTTCTTTCATTTTCTTGAATTAACATTACAACAGCTAGTAAATTATGTGCGGTCACTTTAAGAGACAATGCATCCATTACAATGATACACATCAGATTTCTTTCTCCACCGTTTACTTTCACTTAAGACATAACCGACAGTTTTTTTCGAGGAGACTCTCCAAGACAGGTATTTTGACAATTTTGTATGTATTTGTTACAAGAAAAAAAGAAACTAGATTGCAAGTGACTTTGTAATTTAGTTTATTTTTTCTTGTCTTCACCACCTGGCTACTGTTGTAAAATGTTGAGAGATTCAAACAAAAAATAAATAAATTAGAAAAAACAAAAAAAAACAACTGCAAGTAATGTCACTAGCAGAAGCGCAAGTGCAAGTCTGCAGCCAGACCCTCTTGAACGTTTCTCTCAGGCCCCGTCCACATGGAGACGCGATAAGCTGTAGAGGCATACATTTTGTATCGTATAGGCATTTCGTCCACATGGATCCGGGATTTTGGGTGAGTGAAACTGATATTTTTTTAAACTGGGTCCCAGAGTGGATAAATCTGAAAACACCACCCTTGCGTTTTTGTGTGGACAGCAAATCCGTATATTTTCTGAAACGATGACGTCATCAGGCCACGTCTCGCCTAGTGCTGGGCGGTATGACCAAACATTTATATCACGGTAGTTTTTAAAATTATACCGGTTGCACGGTACATGACGGTATTTTTTTTTTCATGCATGACCGGGTGTTAACCATATTTTCTACTGATTGAGAGCGGAAATACTGCAGTATATTGACTTAGAATGCCCTATTTTATTGTCATGATGAGTGAATATTGTCAAAAAATACCACACTAAATAGTGACTAAACACGACCCCTTTTAATACATGTTAACCAGGAGTCACTCATTTATAATCGCGGCATCGTCTGATAAAATCAACATGCATCTACACTAAAGAGCGGCTATGCGGTTTGTTTTGGCTATATTACTTTTTTTGTCTCATGCAGCGCACTGCCTGCGTCTGAGTAACAAACTAAAATTTTTTTTTTAAAAACAACAAACAAAAAGAGTGCATGTGATTAACAGACGAACTATGCTCATTTATAATTCCAAACAATCAGTAAGCGACAGGTGCTAGGAAACGCCGTTTTGTACTCATTTATTGAGGAGTCGGCTGCGGTGCGGCCAACTGAATGCGCTGCTTCTCTGCCACTCACTGCACAGAACAGATGCCGAGAGAGGTGACACTTCTCCGGGAAAGTCAGACCTCGCGTTTGCGGGACAGCACTGGTGAAATCTTCCAACTGAACCATAGCTAAGGTTTATCCAAAAAAAGTCACTAAGTTTGTCAGTATGAATATGGAAAAAAAAATCAGCTAAAAGGGTCTGAAAGTTGCTAAATCTAGTGCTAAAGTCAAGCTCGTGTGTGTGTGAGGCGTGGGAGCTGATGGCAGGAGGCAGTGGATATTTGTGGCAGTCAAT